TTTGTCATTGTCACCCTTTCCTTGAAAAGCAAGTTTGTTTGCTTATAAACTACTTATGTACTCTCCTGTGGCCTTTCCATGAGAGGTTTTATCTTTCTCATGGACTTCCTGGAGCAAATTTCTGAAGTCTCACGTGACTTTTCTTTGCCACATAGCATGCCTCTGACCATCCTTTCTTACCACTTTCAATCGGCACAAGAGATGAAAACTAATTGAAGTCATCATCAAAACAAAATAGGGACTTTAAATCTAGAAACAGCAAAATAGAGATTTTATTGCATTCCAAAAGTAAGGTATAAACTACTTTTGTTCCCCTGCTGTTTTGCCATTGATTATACAATGGCTGTAAAAATGGGGCCATGTCACAATCTTATGAAACCTTTATAGCTCATGGTTGATTTTTCTGCCATCCGCTAGGCTAGCTGCTGCCAAATATCTTTCAGCAGAAAGAAGTCACTTTAGGTGAAAGACCAAAATAGCACTTTCAAAGTGGGATGATGTTGTTTGCAGTTACTTTATCTGTCTTTGTCATTCTGAACCTTGATCTAATTAATTACTCACCCATCTGGGGATTTAGCTTTAAAAAAAAAAGAAAGAAAACCTTACAAAAGTTCAAGGGTTAAGTAACTGATGAGTCTCAAGGCATCTTATTGCTTTTCATTCATACAATATTAAAAAACCATAATTAAGCAGTAAGTTGGTAACCAAGAAAAAAAAAATATCAGATAGACTGTAAGGCCCCAGACTAGACTGGAAGATCCACGAAAGTGAGGGTGTGGGTTTTATTTGCCAGTGGATACCCAGCACTTGGACAGTGTATATTTATAATGAACATAAGCTTGGACCTTAATTTCTAAGGTCAGTACTAGCACAATGGTAAAGACTTTAAAAATATTGCTGGATGGACATTCCATGACACTAGGACAAAGCATCCATTTCCTGGCACCCCACACCAGTGAGGGCTTAACAAATGACATATAACTTCATGATAGGGACAGACGCATCTGAGCTATAATCCAGAGCCACTCTGGACTACGTACACTCAGAGGTGAAGAAACATGTGCCCTTAGCTTAGAGTCAGGAGGCTGGGCTTCAATCTTAGCTCTCTCATTAACCAATTATGTGGTTGTAGTCACTTACTCTCTATGAGCCTTAATTTTCTTATCTGTACAAAGGGAACAATAAATGCCTTCCAGGACTACTTAAAAAAAAACAACAACAACAACTGCTTGATGGAGTAATTGACAGACTGATGGCCAGCAATTCTAAATTCACTTTCCTCCCAAATTAATGATTTGAAGAATGCCAGGTATAACGAAAGTATTACGTCAGCAGAAAACAAATGCAGCTTGTAGAGGCTGTAGATTTAAAAATTGATGATGCTTATGAATAATAAAGAAATAATTTGATTCTTTTTTTTTAAAGATGTATTTATTTATTTGAGAGAGAGCACATGGGGGGAAGGACAGAGGGAGAGGGGCAGAGAGAATCCTCAAGCAGACTCCCCGCTGAGCACAGAGCCTGATGTGGGGCTTGATCCCAAGACCCTGAGATCACGACCTGAGCTGAAATCAAGAGTCAGGCACTCAGCCAACTCAACCACCCAGGTGCCCCAAAATGATTTGATTCTTATACATTTATTGGGATGTGATGTCTGAGGTCTTAGTAGTTACTGCAAAGCTTAGAAATCATCAGATACAATATGGTGATGAAGATTTTTGTGTGTTTATGTTCTGTCCACCTCCAAGAATTATTGAAGGAAGTGAATGAGCATTTTACTTGGGGACTTTAAACAATATGTAACATGCCATTTATGATGGCTGCATAATAGATTACCCCAAAACTTTGAGGTTTCAAATAACAATTGTCATTTATTATCTCTTATGGCTGTGCTTCAGCTATTGTTTTAGCTAGATGGTTCTGGCTCAGCGTCTCTCATGAGGACACCGGCTGATGGCAGGTAAGGCTGCAATCTTCTGAAGGCTTAACTGGAGTTGAAGACTCTACCTTCCTGCCGGTTCCCTCATGACTAGCAAGCTTGTGTTGACTCTGGGTGGGAGGCCTCAGCTCCTCTCCATACTGGCCTTTCCATAGGACTGTCTGAGGCCCAGGACACTCCATATACGTGTCCTTACAGCAAGGTGCTGCATTGCTCAGAGCAGGGACAGCAAACTCTTTCTGTCAAGGACCAGATAGTCAATATTTTAAGCCTGTGGGCCACCTCCAGTCTCTGTTACATATTCTTCTTCTTTAAAAAAAAAAAAATTTTAAAAATAGGAAAACCAATCTTAGTTCACAGGCATACCAAACAATCAGCAGGCTGGGTTTTGCCCATTAGCCTGAATTCTAGTCCTTCCCCTAGAGTAAGCAATCCATGAGACCAAGATGGAAGCTGCCATATCTTTAAAGACCTAGCCTGCCAAGTCACACGCTATCCCCTCTATTGTATTCTTTTGGTCAGTTAGGGCTTGATTCATTGCGGGAGAGGACTATACAAGGGTTTGAAGACTATGCCAAAGGCAAGGATCATCAGAGGCCATCCTGGTGGCTGACTGCTACACAGTGCCTTTAAAAATAGTATGTCTGAGGAGCATACCGATTAACACGATAGACCACACAGAGAATTGTCCTTACCATAAAATATAAAATATTCTGCTCCTAATTGCTTGGTGTTCTTCTAAATTATTCCCTGAAAGGTCTAGAAAATATTAAAGAATATAAATAACTAGATTATGAGACTATCTTTTTATCTTCAAAAATCTTACAACTCCGAACGACATTATTTTTACATAGTGGACGTTAAATACATGTTTGTTGAATATATATATTAGTATCAATAAGGCCTCAAAATAGGCCTTCTTTTTTAATTGATCCAATTATTTGGCACTCTGTAAGTCAAATATAAAAGATTATTTAATTATCTAGTTGTGCTGACTTTGTATAGACACAGCATGCGTCTACTGAGAAAAAAGAGGAGTAGGAAAAAGCATGAGTAGTAAGATGTTTATAGAAATACCTCACTGTCGAAGATATAGCAATCACTCAATTTTTTTCTTTTTAAACATCCACTTGTCTTTTTGGCAAATACCTTTGAGTGATGTTCTCAAAGGTAGTATCTCAATGCCCAGACGTGAGCAAGTATGCAGAGGACTAGATGGAACATGCCAAGAACTACTGCCTTCAGCTGGCTTTGTTGGTAATTTTGAGGCTCCACACAATTTTGCTCTCATGATCTTTGACAATGACCTTCTGAAATGAGGTCATTGAAGGTAAAGCCAGCTTCTTACACTCCGTGCTGGTTAAAGCGCAGGTTCAACTTCATCGAACACCAAATTATGGACTTCTACCCCCGACTCACTCCACACCATGACCTATAAAAAGCCTGTGGGTGCCATGAAGAGGCCTGTGCAGATTGTGGGGTGTCTTTACTCCTGCATTTCTTGTCTTTAGCTGAAGGTAGCATTTCCCCTCAACACCTAAAAGCATTTCAGTCTTTGAACCTCTCCAGTAAAAAGTAAAATACCCTCACACTAATGAATCACAAAGTTTAATGTATGTTCCAAAAGTTCTCTTGAACTGTGCAAGTCTTTGTTTTCCAGTCCTGGTAAGTGTATTTCTAAGTGCTGGTCCCAGAGAAGGTCTTCCTACGCATTGTACATACCCCAGGAGGCGTAAGGAAAAGAGCAAGGATTTGACTGCACAAAAATGTGAAAAGCTGCCTTAAACACATTCTGGAGCCACAGACAAATCAGATAAGGAGCTAATGCCCATCTTGTGTAAAGAGGGGGCTCCAGGGGACCTGCTTGGGGAGGATGTCCACGATTAGTTGTTAGATAGGGCAAGGAAAGTTCTAAGGTGGTTGCATGAATGTGCATAGAAAAATTGTGGTCAATATACAGTGGCTATCTCTAGAAAGTAGGACTGGATGGGGCTGGGTGAAGAGTGGACACTATCATTTTTTACTTTATAAACCTCTACATTGTTTGGATTTTTTTTTTTACAACAAGTACATATTACTTTTGTAATTCAAACAGTTATAATATGCTAACGATAGCTAAGTTTGGTAGAGCACTCTAGACTGTCCTAAGGGCATTAATGACACAGATGTGTTCATGTAATCTTCAGAACAAAGCTGTGAGTAAGGTACTATTTTTATGTCTGTTTCACAGATGAGGAAACAGAGACACAGAGAATGCAGGTAACCTGTGACAGAGCTCGTAAATGGCTGGCTAAGATTAAATATTATTAAAATATATAAACTGCAAAGAATATGATTATCCTTAAAGGAATCAGTGGTACTATTCCTAGCTTCTGAACATAATTTAAAAATAATTTATAATTTATAAAAGGATTTAAATTTTAATTTAAAAAAATGACCCAGAGCACACTGAACTCATAAATTATTTTCTTTAAAAACATTATTAAAATAGAGCAGACACAACCTTCTGCTAGATATCTGTGACCTAAATCCTTTGTATGCTTTAGAAATATCCCTGTTGTGTGCTATAAAAACCCCATGTCAGGGTGCCTTATTGCTAAACTGGCTCATTTAAAGGCCAAGAGAGGGAAACATCACTAGCAAACGAGCATAGACAAGGAGAAATGTGTAATTACAAAGCTCAGATGCTCCAAACCGATTGATGTAGAAAATAAAAATGTGAAGACATCTCCCTTCCTTGGGCTTATTATCTTAAACTGGCTACATCCTTTGTTGTGGATAGCCAGACAGACTCGTTAGAGAGGCAGAGTGCTCACATCATGTCTGGGGACACTCCAAGAGTCAGCAGTTTCAGCTCCTGGGGTTCCTCATGTTCCTTTTCTATAAAGAGGAGGTAATAAAATCCACCTCCCCTCAGTACCTGAAGGCAGCGTGTGAAACATGCTCTCCCTTTGCTATCAAAGTGATGGGAAAAGCACTGACCTACTGTTTTTTACTGATAATATTGAGTTCTAAATACCCATTAACAGTAAGTCCTTGGAGTGAACCGAAATCCACTCACCTTCGAGAAAGACAATGAGTCAGATGTTTCTGAAGTTCCAAAAGGCAGAGCCAACCTCTCAAAAGGGCAAGGTAGGAGAGGTTACGTAGTCCATCATTTGAAGAGCACAAGTTAGAACATCCTGTCCCAAAACATCTTTGGTCACACTAGGTACTTGAAGTTCCACCATTAGAAATTCATTCCTTTGAATGATTAGCGTCCTCCTGCAGAATGAAAATATCTTCACATCAGCTTTCCACTGCCCAAGTTCAAAGTTGATTCACTGGAAGTAATGCTTAGAAGGTCCATCAGTCCTCAAGTCAGGAGGTGGGAGGGGTCTGCCCAGGAGAGAGACACAAAAAGATGTTAAAGTAAACTGCAAAGAATTTGATTATTCTAAGAGGAATCAGAGTTACTGTTCCCAGCTTTGAACCAGCCCTAGGATTCCAAGAGCTCTAGTCTTTCCCAGGTCAGTATGTCCCACATAAATAAGGTCAGGCTGGTCATGTATTTTCCAACTGCACAAATACCTCAAACTTTGGCTGGGTTTCCTGCGAAGTCACCTCCCTCCCTACCTGGGAATAGCAGTTTTCCAGCATAGCCAGACTTGGTGACTCACTGGCATATTCTCTCTCCTGCTTTGAGGCCCCATAGACACACAGAGCTGGGCTCTGGCAGTGCCTAGATGCAAACGTATCTTTCCAAGCTGGACCCCTGAACCCCAGAAGATTGGCTTGTTTTTGTTTTTGTTTTTGCTTTTATATGATATTGTCATCATAGATTTTCTAATCCTTTCCATGGAGAATGAGTCCGTATTCTGCTCTGATTAAGGCTCTCAAGGTCCTAAACAGGAATACCTTGTCCCCTCTGCAAAAGGAACTCACTCCATTCACATTCTTTCTCTTAGCACAGAACCTACCATCCCCTGAGCACCAGAAACACTAAACCAAGGGTCATTCCCACCAGCCCTGGCTGTGAAGAGGTTTTCAGAACAGAAAACTATTATTGTATATTTAATCTGAAGACTGAATGGAACTGGGGGGAGGGGGGACGCAGCAGGCAAGGAAGAAGGAACTAGCAAATTGCAAATGTTGACATGTCTGCTGCCCCTACAATCCATCAAGAGACAGACACACCCCCTGTACCAACCCCTTCAGAGAACCATATCAAAGATTAACACCATTAGGAAGCGTTCAGACTTTGAGCTCTAAGCAAGGGCTTATTCACTCAACCATGGAACAAAATGCCATGAGAACAAGCTCTGAATGAAGGTGATAAGATAAACTTAACCGCTAGCCCTCTCCTAGCAGCTGTCCCTAATGTTTCTCTCGGGACCTTTGGAAATTCTCTGCCTCTCTGCATGTCTGACATTGCTTACCTGTGTTACTTGACAAACTGAACGAGTTGGTTCATAATATTTTTCATATAAATTCAATTGCTTCTTGCTGACCATGCTTCATTTCCTCCCTCCTCCTGGATCTGGAGGAAAAAAGTTCCCAGGATGATAGAGTCGAATTAGGAGGAACTCTTTTCCCCAAGAAGACAATAAAGAGTCAAATAACTCCGCTCTCAAGGACTGCCAGGGAAAAGTCCCTCGTGGGGCACAAGGGCTCCTTTGTAAGTTCACCCTCACCAACTGCACTCACTCAGCAGGCTCTGGTCTTTCTGGGCATTTCTCTGGTCAGTGCAGGTTCCTTCCCTCCACCATGATTATTTTAAATTTCTTTCCTTTCCCTCTGGGCTGCTCACTTGCTTCCTAATGCTATTAAACATCCGACCCCATCCAGACCCTCTTTCTGTCCATTTAACACAGAAGTTGCTGATGGTCCCTTTTTGTCTTTCTCTGCCCTCTTCTCTGTCCTGGCCTGTTCACACGACACTCAAACTATTGATCTTCTCTGCTCCTTCCCTTCCCTCCTCTTCCCTCCCCTTCCTTTCTCTAACCAATTGCTCCCTCTCCACTGGTTCTTTATATCTATATCTATATCTATATCTATATCTATATCTATATCTATATCTATATAGCCATTCCTTTACCTGTAACACACATAATATATATGATGCATGCTGCAAATATTTCCTCCAGGTTGTCATTTGTCTTTTAACTTTGTTTCTGATGTTTTTTTTTTGTTTGCCTCCTTATTGTGTTTTTTTGGCATGCAAAGGTTTCTAAATGATAACATTTATCAATCTTTTCTTTTATTGCATCTGGATTTTGCGTTAAAAATACTTTTCCCTTACTAACTACATAAATACAGACAGACAGACATGCATACATACATACAAAGGGACGTCGGGCTGGCTCAGTCAGAAGAACGTGGAATTCTTGATCTCGGGGTTGTGAGTTCAAGCTCCACATTGGGTGTAGAGATTACCAAAAAACCCACCAAAAATAAAACCTTGCCCCACCCTTAAGATATCAAGGAATTCATGCATGTTTTCTTCTAGAATTGTATGGTTTCGTTTTTACGGGCAGGGAGCCCGATGCGGGGCTCGATCCCAGGACCCTGGGATCATGACCTGAGCCGAAGGCAGACACTTAACTGACTGAGCCACCCAGGTGTCCCTCCAATCTGGTTTTTACCCTTATCATTCCATCAAAACATTTTGAGCTTGAATCATCACCATGGCACTGGATTCCACTGGCAGATTTTGGGCCTCATCTTCTTTGTTCCCTCAGCAGCTTTTGACATTGTCGAACACTCCTCGAAATGCTGTCCTGATTGGCCTGCAAGTCTCCACCATCTCCTGCTTTTCCTCCTTCTTCCTTAGCCAGTCTGGCCCCACTTCCTTCATGGGTTCCTGCTGTTCTACCTGGCCACCCAGCCCTGGTGGTTCTCCCGCTCACTCCCCACACATACACGCCACCAGGCGGTCTCATCCCTGCCTCCCAGCCTGCAGTTTCAGTTCGAACCAACCCAAGGTAACTCACCCCTCTCTTCCACCCAGTTCCTGCTTCTAAGTGATTCTAGATGACATTTACACTTGGGTATTTCAAAGGCATCGTAAAATCAGCATGTTCAAAACCGGACTCAAGAAAGACCCATTTCATGTTACCCTCTTCCCCAAATCTGGTTTGTCTTCTTCCCATCTCACTGAATAATATCATCATCCATGGTGACAAAACCCAAAAACCCAACTGTCCTCCTTGCCATCTCTTCCCTACATCCCAGACCCAAGCCATCGCTAAGTCCTCCAGAAGACTCCTCCTATCAGTCTATTTTTCCCCACAACACACCCTCATCCAGGCTAGTCTCAACTCACAGCTGCATTCCTGCTTGGCCACCAAACTGGTCTCCCTGCTTCCTACTCTTTCCTCACCCCTACATTTCACTCTTCGCTTGGCAGCCAGAAAGATCTGTTTGAAATCAAATCATTTCACTTGCTTCCTGTTGCTCTTCTAATAAGCCAAAGTTGTAATGTGGTCTACAGGAGCCTCTGTGGTCTGGTGCCTGCTTACCTCTCCCTTCTCCTCTTACACCACCTTCCCTTTGCTAGGCTCCATCTCCACCTCCCCTCCTCAGCCCAGCCCCTGCCATGGTCTTCCTAACAAGGACCAACGCCCCCATTATTTCCTCTCTGGGTACCATATATCTCCCCTTGGAAATGTTTTCATCACAGTTAGCGTTTGATGTTTACATGGGAGACGTATTTTTAATATCTATGAGGACAAGACCCCATCAGTCATTTGCTTCATTATTACCCCAATATCTACCTCTCATCCTGACAATGGTAAACAAACAAATAAACTTAAATCAGCTCCTACTTCTTTCACAGTCCTTGTTTTCTTTTTTTAAAACTTTTAGATAAGTACGATTTTGTTTTTCAAGATGTTTTTATGAAACATGGGATGATGGCTTAGGGTGGAGTCTGATATTATGACCAGAATACTGAGGATCAGGAAACTCTAGTTCTAATGCCAGTCTTATAAACTGCAGTGGTAAATTCAGGAAAAGAGTTTAAATACTGCATACTTCCCCAAAACATGCTAAATATGGCTGCCTCACTTCTATTTTCATTATGTTAATTGCTTTCATATTCTTCTCTTCCCCTAGATTGTCAAATTCTTGATGGAATACCCTATGTCATAGTGATTTTTGTTTCTCCATGGTGTCCATCACTTCAGAAAGTGATCAAAGTTGAATAAATGAATTAATAAATGTGTAACATATGATGGCATGATTTTTTCTTTTTTATTATCTTTTGGTGGGGGGCTGTGTAGGCAAATAGAGAGAGAAGAGGGAGATAGCCTGATGAAAACACACAGGCAAGGGAGGCCTGAACCTTTTTTATTATCTTATTTTATTTAAATTCAATTAATTAACAAATAGTGTATCATTAGTTTCAGATGTAGAGTTCAGTTATTCATCAGTTGCATGTTACACCCAGAGCTCATTACATCATGTGCCCTCCTTAATTGATAGCATGATTTTTAATGGCACAGTGAAAACAATGCAATACTAAAAAATAGTTGAGGAAAAATTGAGGGTATTTCCACTTAATCAGAAGTAAAATATAAACTGAAATGCCCCAAATATGATAAGCCTTTGGCCAGAGTTTTGAATAAGCAGGGCTGATGTCAGGTCAAACCATGAGGTAGGTGTTCAGGAAGACTTTAGAGGAAGCTTAAACCGGGAGTTGAGGAATACATAGGCATATGGAATTGACAGACTATCAGTGTAGATGAGGGTCTCCAAGAGAGCAGTGAATATGGACGTTTAGAATTAGCTTCACTTATATAAAACAGAAAATTAATTTAAACATAGTAGAATATTTTTCTTCATGTAAATGATATTCAACGGTAGCTGGTCCAGCACTGATATATTGGCTCCATGACATTTTGGGACCAAGATCCTTTCTATCTTGTTGCTTTGTCATTTAAATACGTGGCTTCTCCCTCATAATCCAAAATAGTTGCTCAGGTTCAAGCAACTGTATCTGCATTCCAGCTGGGGAGAAACAGGAAGAGAGAAAGATGGCCATGCCCAGTACTTTAAAGACCCTTACTGACACTCTTATCCGATTGGTCAGTATTTAGTCACATGGCCACATCTAACTGCAAGGGAAGCTTGGAAATACAATCTTTTTTTTTTTTTTAAGATCTTATTTTTAAATAATCTCCACACCCAACGTGGGGTCAAACTCACAGTCCCAAGGTCATGAGTTACACTCCTGACTGAGCCAGCCAGGTGGCCCAGAAATGTAATCTTTGATCAAGAAAGCCACGTGCCCAGTAAAACTTAATAATCAGAAGAATCTGATTCCACCAGAATCTTGATTTGCTTATATTTCTGTGAGGAGCATTTTGGGCTGGACTCAGCTGGGCACTTCTACTGATCTCA